TGTTAAAAGCAAGAAAATAGTTTTGGCAACTTACTGAAGATGGCAATGGGTAAGATGAGCAGGAGATCGATGAAGAGATACTAATGAAAGAGTTAGAATTTTTATGCATTATTTATGCGGGTAGGTGTATCTCGCATACCTGGAAGTCTCCTAGATTGGATCCGGATTTGTATAGGATACTGACGCTGATGAACTGTATAGCGGAATACAAACTCATGTATTTGAAGCAGCTGAAGCTGGTAACGAGCGAAGCTCGACCCTCTCTATTTCCACGATTAACATCTATAGTTAAATGGATCTCTGGGAAACAACATACCTAATAACCTGTGGGACACAAGAAATCTCAAACACACGGCTTGTAAAAGGCGCAGCAACAGATGCTTCGGCTTCTGATAGAGATATTCCAACATCTGCAGCCTTCAGGGCCCCACAGTCGTTGGCACCATCACCGCAGAAGCAGACAGTATAGTCCAAACTTTGTAGCTTCTCTACTAGCTCGTGCTTTTCATCGGGGGACATTCGAGCAAAGACTTGACCAATTACCAGCATGCGCTGCATGACTTCTATTGGAGCGAAGTCTACCATCCATCTAAAGACCTCGCCACTAACAGCGATAGAGTAGTTTCTCATGTTGTTGATATCGTAAGGGAGAGACAAGTCACCTTCAGGTGGGGCAGCGAGCGGTAACAGCGTGTTCTCATCTAGTCTATAGATCTTATTATCAACGCTCTCCCACTGAATCTTGGCCGTGGGCGACTGCGAATCTCCCTCCACAAAGTGAGGAACGAACACATGAGCCGACTTATCGATCAGGTGGCATTCCCTAGCGACACTGATAGCAGTGAGGATGTTGTCGCCGGTACACATAACACGTCGGAGATTTGCTTTTTGTAGTTCTCTCATAACGCCAGCTGTGCTTGGTTTCAACTTATTTTCGAAGATAATAAAACCGCAAAAGTCGAGATCCTTTTCAGCCTCTTCACGCTTCATCTTTTGCGCCTTAACCCAAGACAATTTCTTAATGTTCTTGGCTGCACAGGCGATGACACGGAATCCACGATGTGTGTAGTAGGCCAATAATTCATCGTAGTCCTCAGGGACTAAAACTCAAGTTAGTAAGTCATTGATCCAACGGGAGAGATGGCAACCTACAGCTCTTAGGGTTACAGATCTCTGCCATGCACTCGGGAGCACCCTTTACGTAAATATCACACCCAGTCTCACCAAATTGCTTAACAATGACGCTAGCTCGTCGGAGCTGAGATACAAACTCGAACGATTTGAAAACTCCAAGTTCTAGCGGAATCTCGCCCTCGTTGTCGTTATCTCCGTACTTCTTTCCAGCAGGTGGTCTAACAACCGGAGGCGATATTGCGTTAGGTTGAGCAGTCATTACTTCCTCGCTATTTCGTCTAATTTGAGATCCAGTTTCTTCGTAGGACCAGCCGGTAAACCCAAACATCTTTTGATCTAGAGGGTCACCAATAAGCTCGCCATCGATCATCCGAAGTGAATGGCAAGTAGCCATAGTATGTAGGATTGCTTTGTTCGTCGAAAAGTCGACAGATGGATCTCGTTCAAATGTGTTTGGCGGTAGAAGACCTAGCGAGTCGTTGTACAGTTCAGAAAACTTCTTAGAATTTCGCTGGACAGCCCGGACTCCGAGAACATCAAGCCCATCTTCAGTTAGAGTACCAGTCTTGTCGAAGCAAATGACGTCTAGCTTTCCGGCAACGTTGACCCTCATAGGACTTATGCAAAAGATCTTTTTCTTCTTTAATCTCGAGAGGGCAAAGTTGGTACCAATTGTCAGCGTTGCGGGGAGCGCGGGTGGGACGACAATTGTTATTAAATCTAAAGCTCTAACGACAATCAAGTGGGCAGCAAGCTGTTTTCATGTTAGTAACCATAGCGCTAGTCTAATACGGCATAGAAGTGGTGTAACATACCCCAAGTTCGATGAATCTAATCAAGGTGGCGATGAATCCGAGCAGGGCAATTACAGCCATTACACTGATATAGTAAAAGCTGTCACGGTAAAACTTGAAACCGGTAGGCTTCGGGAATAGCATGCTCCGTACTAATGCACCTTTGGTGGTATTGAATCCAGTACGAACGACAAGCGCTAACGCGGCAGCCTCCTCGTCCTGTCCATCCTGCGGTTTGCGGGCCCTGATAATTTTCGTACCACAGAATAAGAAGTACTTAGAAAGCGCTGGCTTCACAGATGATGCGCCAAGATCTAGCTCTTGTAGTGCCTCGTCGGTGCACGGAACTTTGGTAACTGGGACAGATTCTCCTGTAAGCATGCTCTCGTTGACAATGCAGTCACCGGAAAGTAGCAAGCTGTCGCAAGGGAAGAGTGTTAAATAAGGGTCTGTAACTTCATAGACATCCCCAGGAACCAAATCTGCCGAAGAAACATATTCCCAGTAGCCATTGCGCATTACTCTGACGTCGCAAACAAATTTCGAAATTTCTCGAAGTCGTTTCATAGTCGACTTTGTCTCGATTAGAGTGCTAGTGATGCTGACAATGGATATCAAGAAAATGCAAGAAGCGTAGTAGTAGTACTCATCCATTGACCATAGAATGATACTGGCGATCTGGAAGACGTAGAACGGATGGAAGACTTCGTCTAAGAAAAGGTTCATCGTGCTTTTTTCCTCAATGTCTATGACATTGGGCCCGAAAACGGTCAAGCGTTGATCCTGAGTGTCGCTATCGACGCCCTGTCGAGCGGACAAGACACTATCCCATTCCGGGTCCTTCCAGTTGCTCGTGAGCATGAACTTGTCCTCTACTGGGTTGTAACAGAATCGAATATATCGATAATCGAGGTATCGCAGGTGATTAATGAGAGGGTCATCGTCTTCCTCAGCCGCTTCAGCCGCTGCAACTGCTTTCTCGGACGGAGGACCAAAAACAGTAGATAGAGTCATTCCATACGACCGTTTCTTAATAGGGTGTATGCTGAACTCATTCCACTCGTTCTAATCCAAAATTTAGCGGGATACAACAATGGTTCTGGACGATATCACAAACCTCAATTACAACCCATTCACAATCTCTAAGCGGACACGGCTTTCCTATCAGCCGGACTCTCCAGCGGGGCATCCAACGCAGCATCAAGTAAAATAAGCCTAGTGTAAGGACCGACAATACAGTCACAATGGCTGAACCCATTTTGCTCGTTCTAAACCCTCCAACAATGATGGTTAAATCCTCTGTAACGATATAAATCTTTTGATTGGATCTTAGCGGCCCCCTCAAGAATATACGACTTGTATCAGTGGCATTGGTATCCTGGCGGTCGAGTAACGGAAGTTCTTGGTCGTCCCTCGAATTACGGGGTGAGCGAGCCAGCGACTGCCGCCGAGATCCAGACTCCAGGTCCATATCAATATCCCCTTCCCACGCATTGAATTGGAATTCGTCATCGTCGTCGTCGTCTATAATCGCTTCCTCGTTGTCCCAATTGTCAACCTCGTCCTGTTGGAAAAATGTGAAACTAGCCTCCGATTCGGTACGGGATCTCCGCCTATGCACAAATGCCGAAACACTCGACGGGACACTCTCTGTTATCGGGCCGCTAAAGACATCTTCGTGCGACATCTCAACGCCATCGGCATGGGAGTAGAAGCTTGCATCGGAGACATTCGATTCCGCACGTGGCCGGGGGGTGGGCCGGGGCGACGGCGACGGCGACGAGGACGCCATTGTGAGTCGCGTGGCGGGATGCTTCACATATAGTGTAAACGGCGTCGGCGGGTGAAACTCTCGCCCTAGTCGGAGTAGATGCTAAACTATGAAGTGTTAAAGAAGAGAAAACAGCGGCTGGGAAAGGTTTTATTAGGCATCATTAAGTGTCCGCATGCTAAAACCGTGAAACAGGAAACTCGAAGAACTTAAGTGCATCATCGCCAAGCAAGTTTCAGCCAGCCGCATTTCAAGCCGCTGGATTGGGGAAGATGCGGCGGTGACCCGCTTCCAAAATCCAACATCCAACACTAACTAACAAGATATTCTATGGATGCTTAGATTTTCAGAATAAAAATTTACAGATCTAAGGGGTTAATGGTCTCATATTGGGTTGAGATAGCCACGATGAGATTTTGTGATATTTGACATAGCTTGATCAAGAGTCTCTAAATAGTCATATCTCTAATAAGCTAAACACATCACAATATCCCAGAATCGGAAATATGGAAGGCGGATAGGTTGTCGAGGAAGCAGATGATAGTGACCGGTGCATATATACATTGAACCAGGCAACATACCACAAGTATCGGTCCTCTGATGCTATTCTTTTCTAGAACTGGGACTATAGTATATTATTTTTGGTATTAGACATGCACTTAGACTAGGTCATAGGATATTCTATAACATTATAACAATATTGCAATATTGATGCACTAAAGGAACCCCCCCGTTTCGAATAATAGGTAATCAACGGGTGAATACAATAATTTATTCCTCCGTGACAGATCTGAGCAAAGGCTACTTGATACAGTTCGATTAAGAGTGACAACTTATATAACCCTTAAGACTTCTATTTACTACTGTTATTCCTACTATCGAGAGTAGTAGAGCCGCAGCAGTAGCAATATCATTGACCTAAATGCCAAAGTTAGAGGTAATAAGTTATTGATATCGAGTGAGGGCGATTGAGCGAGAGGAACTCAAGTTCCGAAAGAGTTTTTCTTTTTTGCGATTAGATCTTCAGTTTTGGGGTCAGTCTCGGAACTAGACAGTTTTGGGGTCAGATAAAGCAGAAAATGAATCCAAATCGGCAGTGCTACCTCCCAAGCCAACCCGTACAAATAAAAGCGTATGAATGCGCCGAAATCTAACATGAATTCGCCATACACTTTTCTATAACCACTTAATAATATAAACTACAAAAAATGTGCCTATACCCTGGTGGATTTGCTACTCAGAGGTAGAAGAAAGCCCAAAAGAAAAGTTAGAAAAAAGAGCAAAAAAAGAGCTTGACACCCTGCTCCCTGCCAGGATCGAACTGGCGACCTTCAGATTTCTACCTGTGTAAGGTCTTCATATGAATCATATGAGACTGACGTGATAACCAACTACACCAAGGAAGCTTTGTGATGCCAGAGCATTTTCAAAAGTATTATACAAGCATTGTTGCATCCATCTTGAACTAGAAATAAACCTATGTTCTTTACTTTCCTCATTGTGGTGGTATTGCACCCCAACACAGTTCGCTGCACCAACAAGACCAGGTTTACCTGGTCTCGCTTGCCAGATAACATGAAGTTCACGGTACCTTGACTACAAATATGCAAATTCAACCTAAGATATTTTCACTTATGGCTAAAGCGCCTGGAATCGAGGCTATGGCTAAAGCACGTCTAACCTTTGGCATACAAGTTTGCTCATCAAAGTGGTCATTCGTTTTTCCGAGTTGCTTGTCAGTTTGTATAGAGATGGGAATATGTACAAGTAGATAAAAATTACAAAGAATAAAGGACTTATCCTTGTCTCAAACCAGATCTGCAGACTTCACAAAAAGATTTTTGACTTATCCATAGTTACTTTAGGTATATAAGTAGCCTGGCGACTGGCTTGTTCATTAATCTAGGTAGTAATCAGTTTGCTTATTAGCCTAATTATGGAACTAGCTATTGGTTTGACCGTGAAATTGACTATAGAATTAGTTAAAATCGCAAGCATAATCTAGATATCTTTAGAATGCAAAATATTTTAGTTAGCTTTTCTTTCGTAATCTAAAACGTATAGCGGCTTTAATCTAATATTATGAAATTTAATCTAAGTTAGGACAATGTTCAAGACGGAAATTTAGCAGTAACCCGGATCGAAACAGTACTCAGGAACTCAGAAGGCATATATACTCAGATCATGGCACATCATGCACAAGTATAGACGCAGCAAAAGATTACCATCTGACTACAAGATTCATTAGTATAAACGCTGTCTGGCGCCCAATGCGAGAAGAAGGATAAGCCCTTTCTAATGTGCGGCTTACCGTGATGGAGGGGTAGCGCACTGCAGTACACTCATATAATCTTCGCAGGTGCGGGTATCTACTTACTTCACCTAGGTAGGTAGTAGCCGGGAATATATAACCTAGCGCACGGCCGGCGGAACGGATCCATAGATATCTAGTTAGACAATATGTTTCAATTTCATCATTAGGTTGAGATTTACAATCCATGATCACGGCCAGCCATGGTGCTGATTCCAGCTAAAGCCTCGTGCTCTAATATCGAATTCGCCTACCGCAGCATCATCTCAAAGCTCCGCGACGGGGCTTGAAATGGAACCAGACTTGGCTCATTTTACGTTCACTCAAAAGTACTGGCTAAGCTCCCTCATTTGAGGCCCCCTTCCCGACGGCGTTATGACAGATATCCGATTGCTCAGATTATCTTCCTTGAGCTCAAAAGAAATGAATCTCTTCCAGATTATCCTCACTCCATCTTTCTTCCTCATCACTACAATCTAAGAAGAGCGTCGACCTCCGCATAGTCTACCGATACGAGAAACTCCCAAGTAGCATACATAAGTATATATATGATATCATAATCTTGAAGTCAGCTACTGACCGCAAGACCTGGTGCTTCTAACACGAAGATTAGTCCTAGTGTTTGCTGTCGAGCCGATATTTGGAGATTTATCATCTGACAATTTCCATCAATCAAGTTTTGCGCGCGTTTGCCCTTAGCTAATCAACTTTCTACGAATACCTTCGATATTTCCTCGATTTGGTCTTCAATTTTGTCCAAACCCTTGTGATTGAACCTCTACACTCGGTAAGTAACTTGGCCTTTTTTTCGCGATATTAAGAACGCGTTTTCCACAAGGGAGTCTTTCGAATTTCAAGGCTGAGAAAGACTAAACATTGATGTTTTAGAAATGGCCCGCACTTCAAGTTCGATCGATGAACATCAGCAGCAGATTGACAAAGTCATTCATCGAATTAATGGGACGTGTATCAAGAGGGTTTCACTAAAGAAGCCCCCCAAAGGGATACTAAGATACTTCGCAGCCATACCAAAGCAAGGTTCGTTTTACTTGGAGCCGAAAGGTAGACGGATGAACTGACCTGCCCATTGGACCTCTAGCCCCCAAAGAAAAGATGGTTAGAGTCCCAGCGATCGATATCCAGGTAAGGGCAGTCACCCAAAATGGGATGAGCAAAACCTACTGGGTTCTCAAAACCACGAGTAAAGACGAGCCCGGGAGAGTTCGTAAGCAACTGTTTTTGGACAGCCAGGAACACCCGACAGCAAAGTTGTTGGAAAAGGCCAAGGGTCCTATTGCCAAGAAGCATCTTGGCTGCTGCACTGCAAAGTTCTGCAAAGCTACTCGCTGTCTTGAAGCTTTACGCAAAGTTAACAAATCGGCTTCCACCTGATCAGCCTCAATTCAAGGATTCTTCCAGCTTCCAGCGGTCTTTTGATGTATTGGCTTGAAACCTTTTGATGTATGTGCTATACTCATTCATGAACTATCCCATACATTTCTAACGATTTTACATATAGGGGCATCCTACGACATCCACCAGAAATTTTGATTGCCTCTCGTTCTATCCGACAGTACTTGCGTTCTATGCGTATTGCTCCTAGGTACCTCTGATTCATTGACTTTACAAAGGTTTTGGTTTTATTGCGATCATGATAATTTCCACTCTACCCCTTTTCCTTGGTGCACCGGTGCTAAGTCGCTTACCACTACGAAGAGACCTTACCATCTGATGCCCACTAGTCTATGACTGCGTTCTCCAAGCAATGCAATTTTTTCTCCTCTGGATATGAATATATATATTCCTGTGTTGTTTTTGTTGTTATTATTCCCGGGATAAAGTCCATGCTCCCGAGTATCCCGGGGAGGCAAACTAGCTCTCCCAGTCATTTTCTCGATTTTTTGGTCCCACAAGCCTGTCTCCAATCATCATCCATCGATATCACAGCATCAAATCCTCAGTTCGACATATTCCCCACATATCATTATCACGAAACTCGACTAAACTAACATCACCTAGCTACCATCTCCAGTACCGTCAAAGTCTTCGTCGCTATGGTCGCCCACCATACCGGCCTTAAGGCCAAAGAGAAGGGCCCCACTACGTCCGAATCCGAAAGATATGCCCAAGCATGCGCCGCAGTCGCCAACCACCTTATCCAGCTTCACGAAGAGTCGGGCGGGAAAGGAAAAGATGTTAACTTGAACTCGCTACGGGGATCTATTGCAAAAAAGTTCAAGCTAACAAGGACACCACCATTGACCGACATTATTGCAGCTGTTCCAGAGCACTATAAGAAATATATAGTGCCGAAGCTAGTAGCGAAGCCAGTTAGTATGTTAAAGAAACTTTCAATTATATGAGGGGATATGTGCTAACGATTCTCTATTACAGGAACAAGCTCTGGTATTGCTGTGGTAGCTGTTATGTGCAAGCCGCATAGATGTCCTCACATCGCATTTGTATGTCGCACACTTCGTCCCATAAAGCTTTAGGCATTTTCTAATAACTTTTAGACCGGCAATATTTGTGTCTACTGCCCTGGTGGACCAGATTCCGATTTTGAATACAGCACACAGTCATATACCGGTTACGAGCCTACAAGCATGCGAGCGATCCGAGCCCGTTACGATCCCTTCGAACAGGCCCGTGGTCGGGTTGAACAGCTTCGACAACTCGGTCACAGTGTCGATAAAGTCGAATATATCATCATGGGAGGAACATTCATGTCCCTTCCGGAATCTTATCGGGATTGGTTTATCAGCAGCCTTCACAATGCCCTTTCTGGTCATACAACGGAGAACGTTGATGAAGCGGTCCAGTTCGCTGAACAATCGCAGACGAAGTGTGTTGGAATTACCATTGAAACACGGCCTGATTACTGCCTCGATACTCATCTGTCATCTATGCTTCGGTACGGCTGTACGCGTCTCGAAATCGGTGTCCAGAGTTTGTACGAGGATGTAGCAAGAGATACAAACCGAGGCCATACCGTTAAAGCTGTGTGCGAGACATTCAAGCTGGCGAAAGATGCAGGGTACAAAGTTGTTTCTCACATGATGCCGGACCTACCAAATTGTGGTATGGAAAGAGATTTGGATCAATTTAGAGAGTACTTTGAGAATCCAGAGTTCAGGACGGATGGCTTGAAAATCTACCCAACTCTGGTGATCAGAGGGACAGGATTGTACGAACTTTGGCGAACGGGGAGGTACAAGAACTATACACCCAACGCACTCATTGATTTAGTGGCTAGAATCATGGCTTTAGTGCCTCCATGGACGAGAATCTACCGTGTGCAACGAGATATTCCCATGCCATTGGTGACATCCGGTGTTGAGAACGGTAACTTGAGAGAATTAGCACTAGCAAGAATGAAGGATTTTGGAACGACCTGTCGAGATGTCCGAACACGAGAAGTCGGTATCCAGGAAATTAAGCACAAAGTTCGACCCGATCAAGTTGAGTTGATTCGAAGGGACTATACCGCGAATGGAGGATGGGAGACATTCCTTTCCTATGAGGATCCCAAGCAGGATATCCTGATTGGATTGTTGAGACTGAGGAAGTGTTCCGATAGAACCTTTAGGCCCGAGCTTACTGGTCAGCCGACAAGTTTGGTACGAGAGCTACATGTTTATGGAAGCGCAGTGCCAGTCCACGGAAGAAATCCGAAGAAATTCCAGCATCAAGGCTTTGGAACCCTATTGATGGAGGAAGCGGAAAGAATAGCTAGAGATGAACATTGCAGCGAGAAAATAAGCGTGTAAGTGCGCACAATTCGATTGGATGGATCAAGGCTAACTTTTTTAATAGCATAAGCGGTGTGGGTGTACGAAAGTACTATGCTAGTCTTGGGTATTATCTCGATGGACCATACATGTCTAAGACGCTCGTGTAGTTGCATAGGAGGGAATGCAGAATCATTGTAGGTTTGGTTTGGCGTACATATGTTGTTTTTACCTTGTTCATACATGGCGTCCAGGAGCTCAGATTATGCCGGAAATTGGGTATCATCAATTCATATCTATGATTTCTATTATACATTAGGCGCTGGAAACCACAATTTACGCGCATCAGGTCAATTTAGTCGCT